AGGGCATACATTTGTACCTATTCCTCCAACTGTGATAGTGGGAACATCTCTGAATGCCGCGCTCCGAGATTGATAGGGCGTCGATTGAACAGCTCAGTCGACTAGCCGACACAGTTTCACAGTTCAACAGTCCACTGCAATGCAATTGAACTATCTCCCGGTTGATTAGCTACCAAGTGAACAGCTCATATGGGAAGGTTTCTTGACTCTGAGTGAGTGAATCTAGATATTTTGCTTGCCATCGAGAGTTGATATCCTCATATGTCTATTTTATATTACATCAATATTCATGGTGCATAAGTGTCAGCTCGGAGCCCGGCTCGCATGGTGCATACAACTTCATGGAATGGCCCCGTCAATATCTTTGACGATATGGAGTGGTTCGCTCACTTGACGATCTAATCCAGCCCCCAAAATTGCCCAAGGCAACGTTGATTGCAACTTTGACCAACTTCACTCTCAAGTCTGAAATCCGTGAACGAGATTAGGTCACGTATACCTGAGGTTGTTAGACTTCAATCACATTAAAGAGCTCGATCTGCATGGTATTATATAGATGCTGCTCGGAAATTCAGTCCTTCTTGATTTAGTTCTTGTTTAGAGACTTCTTGCTCATTTAGCCCCCGTCCTTAGTAACATAACTTGCCTTCTGATTATAATCTTACCCATGGCTCGGAGAACACTGAGCAGAGTTGAATCATGGAGCTTGGCGCATTTTGCCTGTTCTCTTGTGTCCGCCCGAGGCCCATCTAATTCCCAAGGAAAAGTTCTATTGAGTCATCCACCCAAACGCAACAATCATTTACATTGTCTCCTTCAAGTTTGTGCTCTCGATGCTCGTTAAAAACTATATGCTGGTCTGTTTTAAATAGGTTAGAAATGCTCAAAGGTGCAAGTCAAGCAATGGCAACTTGGACAATAATTCGGCATTATTAAGAGACGAAACGTTGCCACTCCGGGATTAGCCCGGGACAGCAGCCACTCTTTTTCATCACATGGGCGCGCAAGCATCACATATCGATATTATCACTCCTCCAAACATGCCCAGAAAGGTACAAGTCCGACGTCAAGCCCCCAACTTTGCACAGTTCTCACACGCGCATCCCAGAACCGAACCCCGGCCTCGCTCGACCTCAGTCGCGAAAACCAGCGGCGTTGCCGAGCGCGTCGTCGCGAGCTCATCGATGACCTGCAGCGCCGAGTGCTCGAGTACGAACGCCGAGATGCACAGGCGACGCTCGAGATGCAGCAGGTCGCGAGGGCTGTGGCCGCCGAGAATGTCGCCTTGAGAGACCTGCTTGCTGCGAAGAATGTCACGAGGGACGAGGTTGACGCTCATCTTGCGTCGAACAATGGAAGAATCACCCAAGATGCAACGCTCCAGCCACGGAGTCGGCTGCCTTCCCGGCGGCTTTCCCCCAAGCAAACAGTAGTTGTCAGCCCGTCAACAGTGGCATTATCTGGTCAATCGCCGGGCATGGCATTAACAGGCCTGGCAGCCCGCTCGGCGCTCTCCACTCAGCCAGCCGCCGCCTCAACAAACCGAGATGGACAAAATTGTTCACATTCGCCCCTTCAGGAGTCCAGACACGATAGGGAAGAAGACATGACGTGCGCCTGCGTAGGTGAGCCAGACGACGACGGCAACTCTTTCAACATGCCGTCGATTGATCCCGCCTGCTACTGTCCACCCGACCCGCCTCAGACTCTAGGGCGTCAATTGACGTCGAATGGTATGCCTTGTCTAGAGGCCGCCCTCATCCTTGCTCGGCTCGGAGGGCATCCCGACTCAACGCTTGTCCATGCCAAGCTGGGATGCGCTGAGGGGACCGACTGTGTCGTCCGGAACACTGATGTGCTTCGGCTTATGGATGAGATGACATAATATCTCCCTGTTCGGGTCTATGTAGCTTCAAGAAAATGCAATCTTTATTCAAACTGCATCCGATTCGTAGCCAACCATGGCTGACGACATACTAAAGTATCTTGAGAAGCTAAAGACAGCCGCATGATGCCCAGCCCATTGACCCACGTCCATCGTACCAAGCATGGCCGCCTCCTGTACCATTGAGAAATCTTGCTCACATCAATTCTTCACAGCAAAGACCTTGAATGATCCTTTCTGCCATATTAGGCCTCCAATTATCAATTTGCGGCGAGGGTAGGTTTACTTACCGGCCCACTCATTGAAGTTCGTCGCGCCGCAACAAGAAGATGTTTGAAATTCACTGCAAACCTCACTTGAGGGCTTGCAGCACTTTCCCCTTCCTTCCTTGTCTGAATTTGTTGCAATGCAACCCTCTGTCTTCTTGAGACCGTCCTCATTGATTTGGAAATAGACATTTAGATCACTCTGGGTCTTGGTAATGAGGATTTCTGGATGCCAAATTCTCAGTCCTGAGATAAACCGCACAAGTGAATAGGCTTTGAGAGCTCACCTGTAAAGCCCGCCTCTTGAAGAAAGTTCTCATACTCACTAACCATGCTTGCCCCCGAAATGCACCCAACATACATGGCCATGTCAGACTTGAGCTTCTCGGGCATCTGCTTCTTTGCGAGGATATCCGAGATGGCAAGACGACCACTAGGCTTCAGAAGACGGAACATCTCTTTAAACACCAGATGCTTTTCTGCGGCAGGGACAAGATTTATGACGCAGTTGGAGATGATGCAGTCAGCGATTTCGGATTCGAGACCCGGCATGTCTGTGATGCCCGACTTGACAAACTCGACGTTGGCTTTCTCGGTCGTAGTCTTGATTTTGTTGGCCTTGGCGAGCATATCCTATGGAACTTTCAGAATCAAATATCTAAGATGGCTGAAACGTCTGATAAATCTGTACCTTGTTCATATCAACACCGATGACCCTCCCCGACGGCCCAACCCTATCGGCGGCGAGGAACGCGTCAAAACCCGCTCCGCTTCCTAGATCAATTACCGTTTCGCCCTATCATTTAAGGATTAGGAGACGAAACATCAGCGCGAAGAATTATCAGAGGGGTAGCGTACCTCTCTAAGCCCGGCGATGGCGAGAGGGTTCCCACAGCTGAGGCCGAGATTGGATCCCTCAGCGGCACTTGCGAGTTCTTCCTCGGAGTACCCAAAGGACTTCGCAATGGCGCCTCCATACTCAGGAGTCGTCTTTTGCAATGCAGCGCTATAGTGCGTGCTGACCTGGTCGTAAATCTTCTGGGAATCCATAGATGTTGAATATACGAAGAGGAGAATCAGTCGCTGTCGGTCAAATTGTATACAATACAAGAGCTTTGCTGAAGTCAATTAATTAAGCATCACGCGTCCGAGGAGGGAACATTTATAGACAGCCCATCTATCAGCCGTCCCTTCATCGAATGACAACTCAAATGTGGGTGAAGATGGCTTGTCATCAATTTCTTTCCCGTTACGGCAATGATCAACTCATGTCGCAGCTAAGTCCAAAAAGGCAACTTTCCAGTGTGTCATCGATCTAATAGATGCAAGTTGGCGTCACTCTCTCGATGCTTTCTCTTCCATCACCTTCTCAAATAATTTCACGGCAAAGCTATCCAGTGGACTGGATATCCCAGCAAAAAAAAAAAAAAAACCCCCAAGTATTTGTTGAGGCAGCTCGTGCTGTACGCCCGTCGCTCATCTTCGAGATGATGACCAAATGGTCATCGAAGCCGGATGATCACAAGGTAGTCAGGCTACGCAACAACCAGCGCCGCCACCGCAAGAAAGTCAAGGATCACATTGCGGAGCTCGAGTCCCGGCTAGCAGAGACACAGCTACAACTTGACCAGGCTCTGGCCCGTATCGCGAGGCTTTCTGAGGAGCTGGAACAGGCGAGGCCAGGACCCAACTCAATGCTGCTAGAAAGTCGCCAAACCTCGGAGCAAATTCCAACCACGAGAAATAACGCCGATGAGGCACCAAAGAGCGGTCATGTCCATCAATCTACTTTAGTTCAGGAGACTTACAATATCTTGGATAGCCAACACAATAATCATCTTGGCACCAATCGAGGAAAAGACGGACCGAGCCAACCCACTTCCCTTGCCTCAAACCAATTCATCCCCAGCGAGGTCTCGGCTTGGAATCCGTCTCTCGTCCTGCCAGCTCCATGGACAAGCGGGACCACAATACAGGCTCTTACGCTTACCGACGAGGCGCTCACAGACACTGAAGACCAGGATTGCTGCAACTTGCCGCCTCCGGAGCCGGGAAAATCTACCACCCGCTGCCGGGATGCCTATTTTGTCATCACTCAACAAAACTACAAGGCCATAGATGGCACTGTTATCCGTGCATGGTTAGAACCTGGGTTTCGGGGAGAAACTTCTGAAGGCGATGGATGTCGTGTAGATACAGACTTGTTGTTCACATTGTTGGACTTCATTAGCTCCTCATAGACCATGCAGTTGTTTCTTCAGCTGGAGAGAGACACCAGGGTGGCACGTTTCCCGATGAACTGTAGCTTTAGTGTATTCCACGGCATTCTTGGCCTCCTACAAGCTAGCATGAAGAGAGCTGCCGGCTGGTTGCTGGATAAATGCCAGCGATTTGCGAGAGCCTGCTTGAACACCTCACCTTTATAAGACGAAAAGCAGTTAGAGGAGAGGATCCTTGGATAGTGACAGGTGTGATTACCCCGGAGCCTGGTGGACAGGAACAAGACAGGGCTGACTGAGTGAACATGCAACCTTGACATACTTACATTTAGCCCACCAATACCGACGAAGGAGCCAATGTCATAGCACCCTAACTTGGTAACCAGAGACCCATCTCTGGGGCCCTTGAACACAAGCCAGGTGGCCTGTTTTGCCAAGCACCCAGCATTACCCGCCGCGAATTAGACCCCTGTGGTAGTGGTCATCGGAAAGCAGTTAAATCATATAGGATATACAGTAGTCTGCGGGACTGCCGAAGATCAAGGGTTCGCCAAGCACCAGGGAGCACAAGTAGAGACATTCCTCTCTCAATGTCCTCTAAAACGAAGATGCTCCTGCGGGCTTGGTGAACGTCTTGTACTGGGATCGAACCAGTGATCTTGTCATTACTAGTTGACGCTATGCCACTTTGTCAACGGGGCTTCCAGCTTTGGACGGAGACCGTTTGACAATGGATCGACAGCCACTGCCGGGGACAACGAAGATCTTCTGAGCTTGCAATCGGGCCGTGTCCGAGTCCACAAGTTTCAACAGTCTCACGATGCCCAGATTCCATCAGGAGACGTTTTTCGGGTTCCATATGTTAAATGGGCCTCGAATGATCTGGACTGTTGGATGAGAGTCATGTTGGCGGTGAACTAGACGAAATGAAGTCTTTCTCTGCTGGGCTTAAAAGACGTTCAGAGCCATCTTTTGATTCTCTTTCGAACATTGGTTCAACCGAATAATCATCAAACTTGTTTACAATCTAAACTGTCAACGTCATGAGCAAACCGCTTCTTGTCGATGTCGCCAATCTGGCGGCTTACACGCCGCCAGAGACGGCTGAGCTCATCTCTCGCATTGGCACAAAGCGAGGAAACATGAGGCCCGACAAGATTTTCCTCTCTGCAGTTTCCGCAGGCTGCCTCCTGAGCTTCGGATGCGCCGTGTCGCTCACTGCCATCACTGCGCCTTGGTACCAGGAGAACGCCCCGGGCCTCATCAGAATCGTCGGCGGCTCTGTCTTCCCTCTGGGTCTTGTGATGGTGGTTTTGACAGGCGCTGACCTGTTCACCGCAACGACTATGGTGCGTTAGATAGCCGCGCCTGCAGCCATGTTGACACTGACATTGTCTAGAATACTATGGTAGCCGTTCTACACGGCCGGTTGCCAGCTCGGAAGATGTTGCTCCATTGGTTCCTCTGCTTCTTCGGGAATCTTGCCGGTTCTCTTTTCGTCATGGCCATCATCATGGGATGTAAGTTCACCGAAACCAGCCCTTCGCTTAGACATTGAAACTAATACCTTGAGCAAGACGGTGGTGTCTTTGACGCTTCCCCGTACAAGGAACAGGTGATTGCGTTTGTTACCAAGAAGCAGGTAACGCCTCAAATGCACCAGATCTTTCTGCGCGCGATTGGATGCAACTGGCTTGTATGCCTTGCCGTTTTCCTGGGAACGCAAGCAAAGGACCTCAGTGCAAAGGTCATCGGCATGTGGTGGCCCGTCTTCGCTTTCGTTTCTCTAGGACTTGACCACGTCGTGGCAAACATGTTTTTCATCCCTCTGGGAATTTGGCTGCACACGCCTGACCTGAGTGTTGGGCTGTACATCTGGAAAGGTAAGCTCTCCGGTAGCCAAGAGGTGACCTCGAGACTAAATGTTGTTGCAAGGTATCATCCCTGCCGCGCTCGGCAACATCATCGGGGGCAGTCTTTTCTGTGGAACGTTTTACTGGTACATGTACTTGCTTGACGAGCCCCCGATGAAGATTGACGGGGCAGAGTATCACGGTCCTGTGGTGGGGTCTGTTTTTCATTTTCTAGAAGCAAGAAGAAAGAGCACTGTGACGGACGAAGAGAGTAGAGTCGAGTCACAGCAAGTGTCCCAGATGAAGTAGCCATTAAGACAAGTAGTAAGAAGTGGATAATAAACGGGTTTTGGGAGGGGATTACCATCCATGAGGTTTGACATGCGCTGAATTGACCACAATTGACCTTGTGTCTCAAGATCCTGAGTGTTGGATGTCGACCGAAACCTTCCAGCTCGTATGTGAATACGCCCGTGGGTCGACCCTTGAAAACGTGGGATAATTCGAAAAGGAGACAAGGGAAACAGGTGAGGCGGTTCCACAGACGAAGGCGGTTCAACTCCGACAAGGAGAATCGGTCATGGAATCGAGCAGATTTTTCAGCATCATCTGGACATGACGAAAAACATATAAGGGGCGCGTGGAATGTTTTGAGCATTGGATGATAACATCGTATCATTTTAAAATAGACTAGAAGCGAGATATGAGCATCTCCGCGGCCCAGGAACCAGCCAACCTCGACGTAATAAAGTTATTCAAATCCCATTAGAGTATGTTACAGGGATACGAACGAATGGAAGTCGTTCATTACTCACCGAACATCTCATTCGCAATATTAAGAGGGTCCGATCCCATCTGAGAAATACCACCTCCGCGGAGCTGGGTTTCGTTGTGCTTCGTCTACGATAAGCTTAGAACCAATAAGGAGATGGATCGGAAATAATGTGATATCATAATGCCATGCATGAGAGTGGATTGTATGTATTGATGCTTCATATAGGATCAGAATACGATGAGAATCTGCTTGCTGAATATTGTTTACACCTGTAAGGACTGAGATTCGGAACTCGCCATTCTCGATAGCCCCTCCGCTAGCATCAGTATTCTGTGCCATCGAACTCGATGCAACGGATCGCCAATCCGCCATTATAGAACTGTGCAAACGACCGTCCATCCGCTGTGGGATATAGCGAACAGCCCAAGGACGCCCTGCATTGATGCATATGATGTTGAGTCTGCTACCTTGGTGAATGGACAATTGTTGACAATCACAATGCGAGGGAGACGGCAATGTGTTTCAAGTTTCTGATACTTTGCCTACTAGTCTGGTGCTCAGATGGCCCTGAGGTTGCTGATGCTAGGAGTCTTGACGATAAATTTCTCTCGTGTCGACGGGCACTCACAAGACGTGCGAAAGCGGGGAGTTTTACAGAACACAGTTGGATGAAAAGGACTTCCATAATTGCGTACTAAAAAATGCAACTCTCTGCGATTCGGTGCTGTCAACGCGCCCAATCAATACCCAATTTTCCCATTCACCAACTGAGGCATCTTGTTGCCTTGCTAACCCTAACTCTAACCAGCTTGAAGACGAGAACATGCTTGCTCATGGAGGTTTACCACCGGCGACAAAGTCCCTTGGAGGTACCCTCGCTTGCAAGAGTGCGTGCCTGCCGTGATGGTCACGCGCAGGGCGCATAATAATTTATTATGGCCCGCGGTTGTTTGGTCGGCCTCATCTCGCACGGTGCGGTCACGTTAGTCAGCAGAAAGTCAACCATGTTTGCCTGAGGCTCTCGTTCCCGAGCACGCCGCCATCGATTTGCGCCACAGTGGCAGTGTCTTTCAGGTACGTCGCCTTCTCCCAATGCAACTTACCTTGCGCTGCTGTGCACGAGCACCTGCGCTTGTGCACGCTCACTCACTTGCACATTATTGAACAACTTCTTAGTGCAGACCTGATTCAATTGCACTTCACACGTCGTTGCACATATTTCTTGTCCTAAACACGTCAATCGCGACATTCTAACGTGTTGTGATTTCAGGTCTTCAATTACTCTCCCAACTACCTACCTCCACAGAGTTTCTCTCCCCCGTCCAGGTCGAGTATTTCTCCGGCTCAACCAGCAGTCACAACCTATTGGTAGTTGAGCATCCATGGATGCCTAAGGACATATTTCAAGCGACAGGATCCGGGCATCTTCATTGGTTGATCAAAATGAACCGCAGATACGTACCTCCCCTCGAGTTACGGTCATATTTACTTCCTCATCGTCGTGGTTTTCTTGTCCATCCACGCGTTCTCAATACATTGCCTTTGGTTGTATCTAATCGGCGCCTCATAAATAACGGCGAATTACTCTCGAATTCAGATTATAATGCGTGAGATTGTGAGCCCACCTTCAACCCCGCCTAGGAAGCCGTTCATATTGATTACGAGTTTCCTTTGCTCTCTAGGTGCACCTCCAAGTTGGCCGATGTGTGAGCGTCGCCCTCTTCAATTGACTTTTTTTTCATTTTTGACCTCAATAGGGTAACCAAATCGGCTCTGCTTTCTGGCAGACCATTTCCGGTGAGCATGGTCTGGACAGCAATGGAGAGTAGGCAGCTATTTGAATTACCTCCTAGTATCGGCCTTCTCACGCATCATTACAGGTATAATGGAACTTCCGACCTCCAGCTCGCGGGCTTGAACGTCTATTTCAACGAGGTGCGTGGTACCTACGTGACCCATGTCAAGCTATGCTGCATCTCTCATCAAACTCGCATAGACATCCAGCAACAAGCATGTGCCGCGCGCTGTGCTTGTTGATGTGGAACCCAGCACGATGGATGCGGTACGTTCCGGTCCGTTTGGCCAGCTTTTCCGTCTCGACAACTTCGTCTTTGGCCAACCGAGCTCTGGTAGCAGCTGGGCCCAGAGCCACTATACTGTGAGTCCCGAGTTGGTGGACGGGGTGCTAAACGTGGTGCGCCGTGAGGCCGAAGGCTGCGACTCTCTCCAAGGCTTCCAGATCACGCACTCGCTCGGCGGCAGCACGGGGTCTGGCGCGGGCACGTTGCTAATTTCCAAGATTCGAGAGGGTGAGATTGACATCACTGATGTCATGCACATGTCGACGCATTGTTTCGCAGTGTACTGACCGCCGTTCCAGAGTTCCCGGATCGTATAATGGCAACATTCAGTGTGATGCCGTCTCCAAAGTTGTTCAGAACCATCGTTGAGCCGTATAACGCCGTCCTCGCGGTTCAGCAGCTCGTTGAGAATTCGGATGCGAGTTTCTGTATCGATAACGAAGCGCTGTACGATACTTGCAAGCGTTCTCTAAACCTATTGGATCCCTCGTATGGTGACCTTAACCACCTCGTGTCGACTGTAATGTCTGGCGTCTCAACTTCGCTGCGTTTTCCTGGACAGCTGAACTCAGACCTTCGCAAGATGGCTCTGCACATGGTAGGCTGACCCCTGAATCCAGGCCTTATGTTACTGCTAAGCGTTTCCCACTTCCCATCTAGGTCCCCTTCCCACGCCTGCACTTCTTCATGGTTGGCTTTGCGCCCCTCACTGGCCGCGGCTCGCACCCGTCCAGTCTCGTCTCCGTCCCAGAGCTAACCGAAGAGCTGTTTGGCCCTAAGAATATGACCACTGGGTCGGATTTCTGTAACGGCCGCTACCTAACATCATCCGTCATCCTTCGCGGAAAGGTATCTGCTAAGAAGGTGAGCATTAAATGCACCAGTTACAGTAGAACAACTCAGCTTATTTTATTGCGTAGATCCCTAATAATGCGCAGACAAGCCTGTGCTCTGTCCCTCTACAGGGACAAAAAATGTCATCTACATTTGTC